TCCCCCTTGCAATTTTTGGGCAAGGACATCTTCCAGCCCTGGCTTTGTGACCAATGCCCTTCCCCAGAGGCTGAACTCACTTCCCAAATACCCACTTCCCATCAGTAACCACCCCCACCCTGGCCTGGGGGAAAGTCAGTGTCTCCTCTCAATCCCAATCCCCCCTCCCCTGCCACACACACACACAATTTTTGGGCAAGGACATCTTCCAGTACTGGCTTTGTGACAAATGCCCTTCCATGGAAGCCTGAACTTATTTCATATGATTCACCCTGATCTCTTCATTTATGCCTCTTCATTGCCTGTAAAGATTGACCATAACTTTATCTTCTTGCTCATTCTTTGCCCTCTCCCCACAGATACCTGAGGGCAAGAAGCCCCTTCCTGCTTTTGTAGGCTTAGAATATAGTGACAGGAGTTCCCTGCCCTAAGCAGAAGATCTTTTGATTACTATTCCTGGAGCTCTGGTAGCGTAGTGCTTACGAATCACGCTGCGAACCGCAAGGTCAGCAGTTCCAAACTACCAGCTGTTTCGCAGGAGAAAGATGAGGCTTTCTGCTCCCTTAAAGATTTACAGCATTGGAAACCCTGTGCAGGGTCACTATGAGTCGCAACCGACTCCACGGCACATAACTACCAACCACTATGTGGCACTATGGGTTGATGCTCTGGACTGCAAAGTCATTTGAATTGCAAAGATTGTCAATTCAAACTCACCAGCCGCTTCTGTGAAAACCGTATTCTATGGCACTTAATAGGAGCTCTGGTAGCGTAGTGGTTATGAATTGGGCTGTGAACCTTAAGGTCAGCAGTTCGAAACTACCAGCCGCTCCGCGGGAGAAAGATGAGGCTTTCTACTCCCGTAAGGATTTACACCCTCGGAAACCCTGTACAGGGTCGCTATGAGTCGGAACCGACTCGACGGCACTTAACAACAACAACAACATGGCACTTAATACTGTTTCCTAACCAGGGGTGTGGCACTGTAGGATCAGAACTGGACTGCTAACGTCAAGGTCAGTGATTCAAACCCACCAGCTGCTCCTCAGAAATCCAAGGCAGGGTCACTAAGAATGGAGAACTGACTCCAAGGCACTTAACAACCAGGGATCCCTGGTGGCACAATGGTTAAGTGCTCAGCTGCTATCTGAGACATCACAGGTTCAGATCCATCCAGTGGCTCCAAGGAAAGAATGACCTGGTGATCTGTTCTCATGGAAACTGCAGCCTAATAGGCCCTATGGGGCAGTTGGACCCTGTCATGTGGGCATGGGTGTATCTATGGAAAATAGCGTCCTTGGTAAGTGTTGAAATTGTGCCTCCGTCCAAACACTTGATGCCCATTTTATTTATTTTGACACACATCTTTTAGATACAAGTTTGTTCATCTTGTACTTAACCCATGATTTTGATGGCAATCTATGAAATTACAGCTGCATCTTCCTTGCCTTCACTAATGAAAGCTGGTCTCTGATGGGCTCAGAGTCATTATTTTCAGTTTCTTCTCTTTCTATATTCAACAGAGCAAGCTCACACAGTCGGCTTTGACCCATGTATGAAAGTGCTAGTTTTAACGTTTTGCAAGGATGGTGAGACTTTATCTCTTGTACTTTAGACAAGTCAGGAAGGACCAGTCCCTGGAGAAGAATATCCTGCTTGGTGAAGTGGAGGGTCAGCATAAAAGGGCAAAACCTTCCACAGTGGCATCATCAATGGGTTCAAACGTAACAATTGTGAGGATGGATTGTGCAAGACTGGCTTGTGTTTTGTTCTAGTATGCGTGGGGTCGCTGTAAGTTGGAATCCACCCAAGCTCTAGACAGATAACAACAAACAAATGATCTCTCACAACTCATAGTGGGGCCTAGGGCATGTGCCATACCTGTCATATCGTAGGTTACTATTGTTATTAAGAGCCATAGAGTTGGTTCCAACTCATAGCGACCCTGTATAGGGTTTCTGAGGAACAGTTGGTGAGTTTGAACTGCCGACCTTCTGGTTCAAACCGACCTTGTGGCTGAGTGCTTATCCTCCCATAGCTTAGATGTTGTGGTTGTTAGGTGCCATCGAGTTGGTATGGACTCATAGCGACCCTCTATACACAACAGAACAAAACACTTGTGCCAAGCTCACAATCATTGCTACATCTCAGCCCATTGCTGCGACCACAGTGCCAATCCATATTGTTAGGGGTCTTCTTCTTTTTCTCTGACCCTCCACTTTACCAAACATGATATCCTGCTCCGAGGACAATATGTCCGAAGTATGAGAGATGAAGTATGGCTATCCTGGCCTCCAAGGAGCATTCTGGCTTTACTTCTTCCAACACAGATTGGTTTGTTCTTTTGGCAGTCCATGGTACTTTCAATATTTCCCTCCAACACCGTCATTCAGATGCATCAGTTCTTCTGTGGTCTTCCTTATTCACTGCCCAACTTTTGCATGCATATGAGGTTATTGAAAATAACATGGCTTGGGTCAGACGTACCCATGGCATAAGACTCAGGTGGTATCCGACACACCATGGCGTAAGACTAAGATACGTCTGTTATCTTAGAGACACCTCTGTTTATGGGGTAGCCACAAAACAACATGACTAGCCAGGTAGTGGTGATTTAATGGTAGAATTCTCATGTTTCATGCAGGAGATCGGGGTCTGATGCCCTGACAATCTGTCAGTGTTGGTTTGCTGTGCTGCTGAACAAGAATCCTTGGTGGCACTGTGGGTTAGGCATCAGGCTACTAACCACAAGGTCAATTGTTCAAACCCACCAGCCACTCCTTGGGAGAAAGATGAGAGTGTCTGCTCTGTAAAGATTCACAGACTTGGAAACCTTATGAGTCGGAATTCACTCGATGGCAGTGGATTTGGTTTGGGGTTTTATGATGCTGAACAGGTTTCAGATTAACGTCCAGCCTAAAATGGACTAGGAAGAAAGTCTTGGCAAGTGGAAGGCCAATGGAAATTCTATGGATCACAAAAGGTCTGATCCATAACTGATCATGGGCATGATACAAGACTGGACAGTGTTTTATTTCATTCCTTTGTGTATGGGCTTGCCACAAGCTGAGGTCCAAGTTAACAGAAACAATTACTGATCATATCCATCAGGTGCCATAGGAACTCACAACGACCCTATGTGTTGCGGAGTAGGACTAGGCTCTGTAGAGTTTTCATGGCTGTGTCCTTTTGGAAACAGAAGCCAGATCTTTCTTCAGAGGTGACTGAGGGTGGATTCAAACTGCTAACCTTTCAATTAACAACCAGAGTTGATGTATCGAGTGATTCCCATAAACGTGGTACAAAGGTGTAATCATTAAAACAGTGCAGAACTGAGCCCAATCTATGTGGCCTTTTGTTGGTACGATGGTCTGTCTTCTACACCCCTCTGTTCCCAGGGCCTGGTAGGCTCTCAGCATTGTGCAGTGAATGAATGTGTGGGAGTCGTCAAACAGCAAGGTCCCTGCAGGTCCAGACCGTTGGCTCCCAACCACCCTCTGCACCGCCTTCTTAGTCAAGCACCAGTCTTGGTGCAGTCTTGCCTCCATTACAGGTGGGTGGGACAACAGCACAGGGTCCAATCGCTGCACAGGACAGCGTTTCATTGGTTGTCATTGTACCAATGAGAAAACAAGCCTTAGTAAGACTGTTGCTGTTAAGTGCCATTGAGTCGATTCCGACCCATCGTGACCGTATATAGTGTTTCCAAGGAGCAGCTGGTGAACTTGAACCGCCGACCTTGCAGTTCACATGGCTTTGCAGTCTGGTGCATTAACCCACAGCACCACACCAGGACTCCGTAGAATGGAATAGTAGTACAATTATAGTGTGTTCCTCATTGCGTGGTTGTGAGAATGAATCGCTAGTACATTTGAGGGGACTTTAGAAAGTTCTTGGGAAAACGGAATGAAAAGATAGTGGCATTTTCCCATAAACTTTTGAAGCTCCTCTAATAAGGCATTTAGAATGGTACCTAGAATATTGTAGGTGGTGTGGCGCTGTATGATAAGCCACTGTGCCATTGGAGCACTTTATGGAAAAAGGTAACCACTACTTTTTGTAGCGTAGTGGTTACGAATCGGGCTGCGAACCTTAAGGTCAGCGGTTTGAAACTACCAGCCGCTCCGCGGGAGAAAGATGAGGCTTTCTACTCCCATAAGGATTTACACCCTCGGAAACCCTGTACAGGGTCGCTATGGGTCGGACCCGACTCGATGGCACTTCACAACAACAACAACAACTTTTTGTTTGTTAGAATTCGGTATGTTGTTATTCACCTCTTACTCCTGTTGGCCAGGTTAGGGATAAACGCACACAGTTGGCTCTCAGTAAATGTTGGCCAAACAAAATCAACTCCTCCCCACTTCCCCACCACCACGCTATTATTGGGACAGAGTAGAATTACCCCAAAGTTTTCTCCCGAGGAGTCTTTTGGTGGGTTGGAAGAGCAAAGGACTCTCTTCTCACCATAGCCACTTTGTTTTTCTTTCCCAGATGATAACCCATGTGCCCCTTTGTTGTTGTTAAGTGCTGTCGAGTCCTTTCCGACCCATAGCGACCCTGTGTAGGGTTTCCAAGGAGCAGCTGGTGAGCTTGAACCACCAGCCTTGTGGCTCAAATGACTTTGCAGTCCAGCGCCCTTTTCGGGTCCTTTTTGTTGTTGTTAAGTGCCGTTTAGTAGGTTCTGAGTTATAGGGACACTGTATAGGGTTTCTGGGGGGTTTGAAACTCCTCAGACTTTGCAGTTAGCAGTCCAGTGCTTATCTTACACCAGGACACCAGGACTCCATTTCAAACCCTAGGGCCTCAGAAAAACAGCCACATCAAAGCAAATATGTGGAATTTTTTTTATCTTTTACTGATAAGAAGTCAGGAGAGACTGGGAACAAGATGTTGAAAGCTGCTGGCAAATGATTCTGCAGCAGGTCTTGTGGACAGGGGGTCTGGGCTGGGGTTTGCCCCTCCCCTGCACACACACTGGGGGCCTCCTCCCAGGACTCTTACTGGTCCCCTTTCAGTAGGGTCAGAATCTGGTCAGTCAGAATCCCAGCGTACGTGGTCATGGCGCTGGTACTTTTGCTGTACATGTCCCTGGGAGAAAGGAGAAAGGGTCTGAGGATGGTGGAGCCGGCGAGGGATTTAGACTTCTAGGTCCAGAGAGAGTAAGGGGAGGGAAGAGAGGGGGTAAGGGGAGGGGGAGCACGTACTCCTGGTCTGAGGGAGGAGGGAATGGGGAAGAACTTCTAGGTTCCAGAGAGGTGGGGGATGGGTTCTCGGATCAGGGGCTCCGGACTCTTGGGTCCTGAGAAGTGGCAATACCTAATTTTTTCATCTACACGGGGTAGATAGGTCTTCTGGTAAAGGTCGTTGGCGGTGCTCTTGGCGGAATCCCAGTATCGGTACAGGGATTCCTGCATCTGGGAGAGCAGGGCGGGGCTGGCAGGCTCGTCCGCCTGGGGCACGTAGGCAGCTTGGACCTCTGCAGGGGAGACGGGGAGCGCTTAGAGGCGCTGAGGGGTGAAAACAGGCCGGGGTGGGGATGCCAGGAGGGATGTGGTCTGGTAAAAGGACTGGGCATCTGGGAAGATAACTTGGAGTCCACCCTCCTCCTCGAAGACCCCCTGCCTCCCGGACCACACTCACCAAATCCCAACACCAGGAGGACCAGGAACAAAGCAAGGAAGTGTCGGGTACCCATGGCGCCGGCAGACCTGGAAAACTGTAAAAGTGTTCTAAGGCACGCTCTTCCCGGGATCCTGCGATGCCTGTATTTCTGGGATCTTGGCCCGCTCAAGGGGGAGTTGGGAGGCTGTGTCCCTGCAAACTCTTTCCCTTCCTAACCAGTCAAGTTCAGAACTGGGTGACTTGGGCCCGGAGCCATCCTTGGGCTTAATTTTTTTTAACATTCTCCGATTCTCCAGATTTCAGATGTTAAATTCTCTCATGCACTCACTCATTCATTCATTTAAAAATAATTTTCTGAGCACCTACTGTGCAGTCCAAACCCACGCAGCTGCTGTGTGGGAGAAAGATGTGACTGTCTGCTTCTGTAAAGATTTACAACCTTGGAAATCAATGGGTTTCCCGTAGGTAGGGTCGCTAGGAGACAGAATGGACTCTTAAGACAATGGGGTTTACTCTTTGCCAAAAGGTTAGTGGGTGTGCACTCAACTGATAACATAAAATTTGGGGGTTTGAACCCATCCACTGATGCCAAGGAAGAAAAGGTCTGGTGATCTGCTTTGTGACGATTACAGTCAAGCAAATCCTATGGGGCAGCTGTACTATAAGGTGCAACACATGAGACATCAACTCCACAGCAACATAGTATGTATGAGCCAAGGAAAGTTCTGAATGCAGCAGCCTTTATGGGGCTGATTGAAGAGAGAAATGCACATGGTATTCAAGTAGAAGCTAGAATGTATCTATCACACAGGGATAAGGGATTTGGAATGCGTCTGTGTCTAGAAAGACTCAAGATGGTAACATTTGGGCTGGAACCGAATTTGTAGGAGAGTACATCACAGACATTGTTAAGGATCAATGCTAAGATCAAGTTTGTCTCTGCCTTGCCTGGCCTGTTGTACTGTATTAGCTCATTTAATCCTCTTCCCACCCCCAGCAGTATTATCCTCTGTATCTGAGAGATAACCAAGCTGCTGCCTAAAGAGGTTGTGATCTGAATTCCAGGAAGGAAAACATCTTGAACAAAAAAAATCTCTGATTCTAAATCCCATCATTCCAATGATTCCAACCCAAATTCTTGCCATTTCTAACTTCACAATCTTTGCCCTCCTTCCTGGATGGTGCAAACTAGTAAACACTTGTTTAACCAAAACGTTAGTTAGTGCAAGAGGCGTTTTGAAAGAAAGTCTTAATGATCAACTTCTGAAAAAATCTGTCATTTAAAATAAAAAATCTAGAGAATACAGTTCTACTCTCACACACCTGAAATTGCCATGAATTGGTGGGAGTGGCCCCCACCCTGCTGGCTACCCTTTGTCCCCCACCCCCACCCCCCTCTGACCACAACCTCCTCTATCCCTCTTACCGGACTCTGGCGGCTGTCCTTACCAACTCCCAGTAGGCAGAGAACTTTATAGCTCTTCCGATCCACTCCCCCCACAACCCCCACTTTCAGCCTAGGCCAAAGTCCTGGCCAACAGACAGGCTGAGGGGGTGGGGTGGGTAGGGGCAAAAGGGCAGGAATGTCCTTGAGGTCATACCACAGGAAGCCCCCACTCTGAAACTTCACCCATGAAGGAGATAGGCTCAGTGGGTGCTGTGAGGGGTCTGGGGTTTCTGGATGCCCACACAGTAGATGGGGTCTGGTGTCTGAGGTGGGACGTGAGGGTACTGTGGGAATTTGCTGACCCCACCTACTCTACATTTTTTTTATCTCAAATTGAAGAGCCATGAAGTCTCCAACAAGCCCTCCATGTCAGATCTCAGAATCCCGGATAGCACCTGCTCCACCGGCCCCCAAGCCCAGTGTCAGTTTCTGTACTCAATGCATTAAAACCTAAGGATGGGTGATGGGTGATCCCTAGCCTCACAGGAAGGGATTTTGACAGGACACAGAGAGAGAAGCTTTTCTTTATTCAGGACATGGCTGGAGTCAGTGGGAGGGCTGAAGACATGTGGGACACTTTAATCACGGTCCTTGTCCTTGCAGATGATCTTGGGACACAGGCTATGGGCCTTGTCCAGCACAGCTTCCTTGGAGTTGTGGAGCCAGGTCTTGGTGCGGGTGCCCAGGCCTCTCAAATGGTCATCATAGTAGGTTTGCAAAAATCCCCGGAAGCCTTCAGGGCTCCTGCAGGGAAGGCTTGTCACCAGCCAGGAAGCCAGCTGCCCCTCAACAACACACTGCCCCTTCTGACCTAGGGGTCTCTGCTCTCAACTCTCACCCCTCACTCCTCTCAGAAACCAAGCTGTACTGCCCCTCAGATCCAGACTGAGGAATCTGGCACCCCAGGTTCTTGGCCCTCAGACCCGGGAGTCCAGGGCCCCAGCTCCCTCCTCCCTCAGATCCAGGAGTCTACCCCCAGGCCCCTCCTCCCTCAAACCCGGGAGCCCACCCCCAGCCCCCTCCTCCTTCAGACCTGGGAGTCCACCCCCCAGGCCCCTCCTCCTTCAGACCCAGGAGTCCAGGGTCCCAGCCCCCTCCTTCCTCAGACCCGGGGAGTCCAGACCCCAGACTCTGTCTGGCCCCTCAGCTAGGGCATCTCCTCACCAGAAATGCTGCCACTTGTCTCTGGTCCTGGTCACCATCTCCTTCATTTTGTTCTGCATCTGGCTCCAGCGGCTCCCCTCCAGCCTGGGGGTCAGGGAGCCTGGGGTCCCTGAAGGCCCTTCATCCTGGCACACTAGGTGGAGTACAGGGCTGCTTGGGTGGGCCAGGCCCCTGAGCCCCACTTCTGCCCTCCTCTTCCCCCCTTCTCACTCTGATTTCGGTGAGGGGTGGGGGCTGGGGCAGTCCCTGATCAGTCCCCTCACCACCGGCCTTCGTCTTCTGTCTCCCACGGACCACTGACCCCTTCACCATCTTTCATCTCTAATCATCCTCCATGCCTCAGACAGCCTGTTATCCTTTACCTGCTCCCTCCCGACACTTCCATTCACCTCCCGATCTTACTACTGGGAACATCATCTCCCCCTCAGTTCTCCTGTGAGCCCCCACATTGTCTGTGGTACTTCCTCAGGCAATAGACGGGCAGGAAGATGTTTGAGCTCCTCCAGGGGGCTGAGGGGCTACCTGGGATTACAGTTTACTTCCTTGTGTAGACTCACCTGTATTGGTACTGACCATCCAGTGAATTCTGACTCATGGTGGGCCAGTGTGAGCAGACTAGAGCTGCTCCTTAGGATTTTTCAAGGCTGGGACCTTTCAGAAGCTTGTCTTCCAAGGCACCTTGGAAGTGGGTTCAAATGGCCAACATCAAGCATGTAACCATTTGTACCACCTAGACACTCCTCTCCCTCTGTAGAATGGGATGTTGTTTTTGTGTGCCATCGAGTCGATTCCAACCCATAGTGACCCTGTTTCCAAGTAGCAGCTGGTGAGTTTGAACCACCGACCTTGCAGTTCCAATAGCTTTGCAGTCTGGCGCATTAATCCCCAGCGCCACACCAGGACTCCATAGAATGGAATAGTAGTACTATTATAGGGCGTTCCTCATTGCGTGGTTGTGAGAATGAATCGCTAGTACATTTGAGGGGACTTTAGAAAGTTCTTGGGAAAACGGAATGAAAAGATAGTGGAATTTTCCCATAAACTTTTGAAGCTCCTCTAATAAGGCATTTAGAATGGTACCTAGACTATTGTAGGTGGTGTGGCGCTGTAGGATAAGCACTCGACCACAAGGTTGGTTTGAACCTCAAGGTTGGCGGTTCAAACTCATCAGCCGCTCCTATGAGTTAGCGCCGACTCAATGGCAGTTAACAGCAATATATACATTAATGGAGTCCTGGTGTGGCACTGTAGGATAAGCACTCGACCACAAGGTCAGTTTGAACTGAAAGGTCGATAGTTCAAACTCACCAGCTGCTCCTCGAAAACCCTATGCAGGGTTGTTATGAGTTGGAACTGACTCGATGGCACTTAACAACCACATAAACATTAGTGGAGTCCTGGTGCCGTGCTGTAGGATCAGCACTGGACTGCGAACCACAAAGTTGGCAGTTCAAACCCACCAGCTGCTCCTCGGAAACTCTATACAGAGTCACTGTGTGTAAGCTATATACATATGTATTATAATCCTGTTTATTGTATTCGGGTAACCTTTTTATTACTATTATTTCCTGAAGTAAAGACTTTATGATCGCTCCTTTTCTTTTAACTTCCTGAAATGAGTAAAGAATTTATGATTTATGACCGCTCTCTTTTTCTTTTAACTACTTCCTGGAGTAAAGAATTTATAGTCGCTTTCGTCTTCTTTTCCTAATGTAGGAATGCGCGCCTTAAAATTTTGAACTAACCAACTGGGAAAGGGAAAAGATTGTGCGGTCAAAAGCCTAGCCAATGGGGTGACACACAGCCTTGAGACTCATGTCAGGGATTAAAATCCCAAGTGGACTGCCCACTTGTGCTCGCTGGCCTGTTTGTGTATGTATGGCCATGCGCATGCACTCTCTTGCAGGAGTAAATTATGCTTTGCCAAGGTAATTTAGTCTCACCGAGTGTCTTTTATGCGACATTGGGATTCATTTCTAACAACTGTGAGTCATAAACTATGAGGCACTTAACAAAAACAACAACACGTATGTCAGAAGGAGTTGTGGGAGCGCATTAGCTAAGTGCTTGGCTGTTAACTGAAAGGTCAGTAGTTTGAACCCACCAGCAGGAGAGAGCCCAGGCAGTCTGTTTCTGTAAAGATTGCAGCTTTGGAACCCCAGTGGGTGCGGGCCATTCTACTCCCCTCTATAGGCTTGCTGGAAGTCAAACTCAACTTGAAGGGAAGGGATTTGATTTGGATTTGTATATATCTTACATGCAGTTTTCATAATACGAACATGAAAATGTACAGTTTGAAACACGCCATTCCATGCATTCTGTGTTTGTACACTTAATGTTTCATGCATATGAAAACAGACCTATTCACATGCCAGTAAACAATCGCATGTGCACCTTCCACATGTGTGTCTACACCAACAGAAATGCTGAAATCTGCTGTCTCTGAGGGGAGCTCAAAACATCCCTGGAAAAATTCCATGATCTTTCATTCCGTTTCTCCACGAACATTTTGAAGTCCCCTCGTACATACACATCCCTTAGACATGCACATAAATGCATGCTCACACACACATACACACCTGCAGAGCATGACCATGTTCTCTTCTGCTTATACACACACACTAAAGTACACCTGTGAATACTGTCCTACCAACCCCACTTACACACACCATACACAGCTCACAGCACCCCCAGACACACACACACACAGAGGCCACAAATCACACAAGCTCCATATCAACATGTCTGCAAACATACATGCCATGCTGACAATCATGCTTATACACCCCACTCAGCTCTGGGGATCCCCACGCCAACCCTCCGTTTTCTTCTCACCTCCTACGCAGACCAAGGCCAGGAGACAGAAGCAGAGGGGGGCCAGGACCCGGGGTTTGCAAGCAGGGAGCGACATTTCAGGGGGCTCCTTGGTCTTTCAGTTCCTCTGTGCTCAGCTCTCTGGGCCTGGGGAGGGGGACGGGGCACTAAGCAAGGCCCTCCCCTAGCCACCTCCCACGCCCCTTGGCACAGACTTCAGTGACAGTAAGAGAGGCCAGGCTGCCCCCAATGACCTCCCACCTTCACCCTCGGACAGAGGCTCTTGCATCTCCTCCAGTGAACTCGGTGCAAATTGTGGCTGCCTCTCTCCCGGCCTCTTTTCCTCCTCTGTACAATGGGGCCTCAGCCCATACTTAAGAACATTGATTGAATGAAGTTGTTTCTATTGTTAAAATATGAGGGGACTTCAAAAGTTCATGGAAAAGGGGCATGAAAAGATCATAGAATTTTTCAATGAAATTTAAATTTTTCCTCCCTCACTTATATATAACATGGTGTCCTAGTATGGTGCTATATATAGGGTAAGCTCCGGCTAACCACAAGGTCAGTGGTTTGAATGCATCAGCTACTCCTCAGAAACCCTATACAGGGTCGCTTTGAGTTGCAACCCACTGACAGCACGTAACAACATGCATGTAACAGGAGCATAAAAACCAGAGGGTACCTGGATCAGAAAAGGTGGAAAGTGGGGAACAGAACTTCAGATTCCTAAAGACCAGAACAAAAAGCAAACCTACTGACTCCTTGATACTATTATCAGCTTGGGATACTCGTCAGACCTTGAAATGAAAGTAACCCCTAAGGTCATCATGTAGCTAAATAACAAATTGGCTCAGAAAACCATGAGTATCACCCATAAATACTGCTCTCCTTTAAAAAATATCACCTATGTGAGGCCAAATGGCCAACAATCACTTTAATACAAAGATGAGACTAGAAGGCGGTAGGGAAACTAGATGAATGGAAAGGAAGCAACCAGAATGGAATCATGACAAAGTTCACACATTATGAGGAATGCAACCAAAGTCACTGAACAACTTGCGTAGGAATTGTTGAATGGAATGAACCTTCACCAAAAACACAGTCAATTACTTAAATATATACTTAACACAACATTTGCCAATGCAACATTTTTCTAATGTACAGTGTTGCAATAGTAATGATATTAATCATACTGTGCAACCATCACCCATGATCCTTGCCCAAATTTTCCATCACCATAAATAAAACACAGATAAAATGGAGTCCTGGTGTGGTGTGGTAGGACAAGCCCTGGACTGCTGACTGCCAGGTCGGTGGTTCAAACCCACCAGCGGTTCCTCAGACACCCTATAGAGGGTCTCTATGAGTTGGAACCCACTGTTTGTCACTTAGCAACAACCACAACAAAGAAATACAACAAGGTGAAGAAGGGTGTGGTGGAGGTGTTGGAGCTCCTTAACCTTCACAGGGACCCTGGACAGAAAATCAGCAGCAGCTTCCCCAGGCTGACTCGAAGGAGGCACAGGTCAGAGATGACTCTCTTCTTCCACCTTTGTACCAGTGTCCCTCTCTGGGCATTTGCTACTTTTCTGCTGGGTTAGATAATTTGTTATGTGCAATGACCACACAGAACTCACAGACCAAATTCATGATTACAAGGGCTTAGAAGAAAGACAAGGACGAGGATCAGAAATGACTCAGGATACAGTTTTTCAAGACAGCCTCTTCTTAGCCGTGCTTGCAGGCAGACCTCTCTCTGGACCTCATCCCCTTGGGCCTCTTGGGTGGACCAGGCTCCTACCCTGCTCACTGCTCAGCTAAGTGCTACAAAGCTCATTGTTGTTGTTGTTAGGTGCCACCGAGTCTGTATCGACCCATAGCGACCAAAGCTCATTAGCTCCACTAATGGTTCCCTACTCCATCAGCAAGCTGCTTGCCCAAAGACATTGAGCTTTCTCGTCCCTTGGACTGGGACGCCCACTGTGCTATCTCTCTCTGGTCTCCTGCTTCTGCAGCCACTGTCCTATAGGGTCACTATGAATCAGAATGGCCTCGATGATGTCATGTCGGTTATGTCATGTAGCCATCACCAGTATTTTTCAGGTGTCCCTTTATTCTTAGTTATAAAAGTGTAAGTATGACTCAATATTTGCCAATTCAGCCTCGTTCACGGGCACAATTCAGTAACACCAATTACCTCAGCCCTGTTGTGTAACCATCACCAGTACCCTTTGCCAAATTTTCGTCCTTATTAACAGAAAGTCACTGCTTGCCAAACAATGACTCCCCTTCCCACCTCCCCCTGGTAAACACAAACCGAATCAGTTGCACTTGGAGTCCATTCCAACGCAAGGCAACCTCACGTGTGTGTGTGTGTGTGTGAATATGGATTTCAATGGCTGATTTATTTTTATTTATTTATTTTATTTATCAGAAGTAGAACAACAGGCTTTTCTTCTAAGATGCCTCTGGGAAGAAAAATGCAGAGAGACCAAAGTTTATTAGTGGTTATTAAGTGAGAGGGATGGGGAAACAGGGGCATCCCCAGCCCCGTAGCAGCTTCGAAGCCTGGTATTTACTTAGCTTTGTACCACCCAGCGACCCCACCCCTGGTAACCACTATTCAACTATGATCTCTCTTCTCCACTTGCCTTTGAGTCCTGGTATGGCATTGTAGGATAAGCACTGGACTGTGAACCACAAGGTCGGCAGTTCAAACCCACCAGCTGCTCCTCGGAAACCCTATGTTGTTGTTGTTGTTAAGTGCCGTCAAGGTGGTTCTGACTCACAACGACCCTGTAAAAGGTTTTTGAGACGCGGCTGGTGAGTTTGAACCACCAACCTTGTGGTTCAAATTGACCTTGAGGTAGAGTGCTTATTTTATAGTGCTATTCAGGGTCGCAATGAGTCAGAACCGACTGCACAGCACTTGACAACAACAGCAAGAGAGTCTTTAGTAAAAAAAAAAAAAATAATAATTATCAGCATAAACCTTCACTCAATTCACACTAAAAAGTTAAATAAATAAATACCCTCCTTAGAATCGTCATCAACCATTTGAGATTAAAAAAAAAGGCAGCATTTTACCCCAGGACAGAGTTCAAGAGGGTTAGGAAAGACACAACGATGGAAAAGGAGGTAGCAGAGAGGGAGTAGGATGAGTGATGGTCCAGCGTAGGGATTGTAATAAAAAATATGAAATAATATGTGTGAATTGTTTAAAGGAACACTGGTCTGCTTTGTAAACCTTCACCCAATTCACAAGAGAAAGTTTTTAAAAGTATATATATATGTGTGTGTGTATGTGTGTTTTAAATCAGCAAAGCACCTACTGTGCGCTGTGTTCTGGCTCTGCTTCTTTTGAGCCATGTGACCTGGAGGAAGCGACTTAACCTCTGTGTGTTTCGTTCTTTCTCCATGAGCAGGGATCGTGTGTCACCTACTTCCAAAGGGTTGCCCTGGAGAGTAAAGGGATCATCTACCTACGTAAAGAGCTGGGAGCAATACCCTCGTGACCTGGACCTGGACCGGATGACTGGATGATGGGAGCTCAACCAGGAGAGGGGGGGAAAAAAAAAAAAAAGAGTGACCTGATACAGTCTGATGAACTTGACCTATACCTATGGAGCAGCAACTCAAAAGAGGGAACAAATCCTCACAGCAAGAAACATTCACACACCCACACACACACAGAGTGGAAGGAGAAGGGCAGCTTGGACATTGGATACTCAAATTGGGAGGGGGAGACTACAAAGGTAAGAAGTGACTGGCTTACAAGCTTTCAAGAGGGAACCTGGTGCTAGGGAGCATGGCAGAAGGCAGAATCTCCAGTGGGTACTATTCAATCTGTCTGGGCAGAGCGGATGAAAGGAGATACTGATGGGTAACTCGTGATACTGTAGTGAATAATGCTTATCAGGACGGATTATGAGGGTTGGAAATGCAAGGGTGGAAGTTTTGTAACAAGGAAGGGAGTGATTAATTCTCCAGGATAGGAGCAGAGGCCTCTGGGACCATCAACGGAGAAGAGCCGAGAGCGGGACCCGACCCAGAGAAACAGAGATGCCTGAGATAGAGACAGAGATGATGACATGGAGTGATGAAGTGACTGGGGACTTTGGACCCAGAGAGGGAAAGGGACTGTGGGCTGAAAACTGGAGGGAGGAGGGGGAAGTGTAGGGGGTGGGTTTCTGGGATATACCCTTTGGGTGGTGGATGATGTGTGGAGGAGATTGAAACCATGGCAGTGAGATGATATACGATGGAATGAATGTAAAACTAAAGTTCTCCCATGTAAACTATCATATAATTCACAATAAAACATTAAAAAAAAAAAAAAAAAAGAGCTGGGAGCAATGTCAGCTTCTGTTTATTTAGCACTTGCTTCCTGAGTGCACGGAGTTCCTGCGTAGTGTTTAGTATGACTTAACACTGTTGACTCCTCGCCAAAAAGTTAGAGGTTTGAGTCTCCCCAAAGGTACCTAGGAAGAAAGCCCTGCCCAGCTACGACGGAAAAAGCAGTCATGGAAAGCCCTTTGGAGTACATGATGTTCAGTGCAGCAGTCTTCACAAGAAGGAGGAAACCACTCAAATATCCATGAAAACATGAGTGAATAAAATGTGGTCTCTACATCCGATGGGGCCCTACTCAGCCATAAAGAGAGGTGTAGTACTCATGCATGCCACCGTATGGCTGGGTCTCAAAAACATCACGTAAAGTGAAATGAATCGAACAAGAGGACAAATACTATGTGCTTTTCCTAATAGGAGTCAAAGATTAGACATTTTTGGTACAGAAATCAGAGTTTAACAGTGGATACCAAGGGCATGAGAGGGGGGCAAGAGGGGAGTTTTTTGATTAGCTCACATTGGTTTATAAAAACTCAACCCACTACCACAGAGTCCATTCTGACTCATAGGGACCCAATGGGAGATGGTTGTACAACATGATCCAAGGAACGGTTTTCATTGAATTTTACAAGTGGAAGATGTTGACTTGTCCAATGTTGAGTTGTCTATATTTTTTACAAAGAAAACAACAAAGCTATGAAGTGCAATTCTTCTCAGACACACATGGGATTGCTGTGAGTTAGA